AACACGACTAACCATGCACACATATAGGTTAGGAACTCAAGTGATACAGAAATTTCATACAAATTAGCTGGTGCCACTTTCATCGAAACTAAGGCATCAGAAAAAATTATCTCTAGGATCATTCAAAATCATTATTTTTAAAATGCCTTTTCTTCAATTTTCTTATAACCATAAATATACCATAGAATTACAGAATAGTAAAATGCTAAAACTGGAAAAACTAGTACTTCAAACATCCAACTCTCAACAGATGGAACCACTGGGGAAATCTATGTAAACCTATTTCTACCACCATCTCTTACAGACCATGTTTATTAAGAATTAGTTATCTGAGGATGCAGCTTTTAAATAACAGCAGGTGCTCAGTATTAAAAGTCAGGGGTTATTCCCTAAAACAAAACTTCCCAGAACTCAGGTTCAGAAAACTCAGGTTCAGAATATAATCACAGTTTAAATTAAGAGAAAAACATCTGTTTTAACAGAAAAGAAATCATTCATATTTGGTAATGTAAATAAAGTGGTTAAACTTATGTAAATATCTTTGAATCTATCATGGACACCATAAAGTTAGGTAGAGAAGAATTTTAAAAGCATACTGCAAAGAACTATTTTTATATTAAACCTTGTTCAAAGTTTCCTCTGGTTTGAGGAGCCTGAATAAAGGGACAACATGCTCTGAAGTATAACGATTCTGCATAAACTTTTATCATCAGTTCCCTCAAAGATTCATTAAAAATACTGACAAAGAATAAAACAAATTCATCTCAATTCTTCATCATATTTTTTTAACTAGAAAAAGGAAGCAAATTTTTTTTTTAGGAAGCAAATTTACTAACTTATACTGCATTCTCTATTCATACCTTTCTTTATGGAATTCAAAGCACTGTATTTATTTATTGCAGTATGTGAGATTTTAGTTCCTTGACCAGAGACTGAACAGAATATTATTTAGCACTCAAAGAAATGAGCTATCAAGCCATAGACATGGAGGAACCTTACATGCATATCAGAAAGTGAAAGAAGTCAGTCTGAAAAGGCTTCATATTACATGATTCTAACTACAAGACACAAAAAAGGAAAACTATGGAGGCTGTAAAAGATCAGCAGTTGCTGGGGGTTCGGAGGGAGGGATAATGAATGCACGCAGCACAGAGAATTTTTAGGGCAGTGAAACTATCCTGTATGATACTAAAGTGCTGAATACATTTGTCAAAACCCATTCAATGTACTACCAAGAGTACTACCTTACCAAGAGTAAGTACTACCTAATGTAAAAAAATACACACTTCTGGGGATAATGATGTGTCAATGTGGGTTCATCAACTGTAACAAATGCATCACTCTGGTTCAGAATGTTCTTAGTGAAGGAGGCTGTGCATGAGCAGGATCAGTGAGTTTACAGGAACTCTCTGTACTTTCTGCTTAACTTTGCAGTCAACCTTAAACTAAAACCTAAAAACTAAAGTCTACTTAAAACAAACAAAAAGCTAAAGCACATTATACACGGTGATTAACTAGGACTTATCTCAGGAAAGTGAGGTTAAATCAATATTTAAAAATCAATTAATATTCATTATACATAAAATAGATAACTAATAAGGACCTACTGCACAGCACAGGGAACACTTCTTAATATTCTGTAATGACCTACATGGGGCTTTCCTGGTAGCTCAGAAGATAAAAGAATCCGCCTGCAATGCAGGAGACCCCAGTTCGATTCCTGTGTAGGGAAGAATGCCTGGAGAAGGGATAGGCTACCCACTCTAGGATTCATGGGCTTCCCTGGTGGCTCAGAAGATAAAGAATCCACCTGCAATGTGGGAGACCTGGGTTCACTCCCTGGGTTGGGAAGACTCCCCTGGAGGAGGGCATGGCAATACACTCCAGTATTTTTGCCTGGAGAATCCCCATGGACAGAGGAGCCTGACGGGCTACAGTCCATGGAGTCGCACATGACTGAGTGACTAAGCACAACAATGACCTATATGGGAAAAGAATCTAAAAAAGAGTGGATATATGTATAACTGATACACATTGCGGTACAGTAGAAACTAACATGACATTGTAAATCAACTACATTCTAAAAAAATTTTAATTAATGTTTAACATCCATTCATGATTAAAAAAACACTTAAATGAGGGATAAAAGAGAACTTTCTCAATCTGCTATGAAATGTCTCTCAGCAGAGAAAGACTGAATGAGTTCTCCTTAAGATCAGGAACAAACAAGGAAGTCTACTCTTGCCCTAGAAGTTAGGCAAGAAAATAAAGGCAGCAAAACTGGAAAGAAAAAGTAAAACTTTGCAGATGACATGATACTGTATATAGGAAATCATGAAAAATATATTTATAAACTATTAGCACTAACAAAAACATGTTCAACCAGGTTGCAGGGCAAGAGTCAATGAAATTAAGAAAGCAATTACAATATCACTGAAAACAATAAAAAAAAACCCTGAAGAATAAATTTAACAAAGTGTAAAACATACTCTGAAAGCAAAATTGTTGAAGAAATTAAAGAAGACCTAAACAAATAGAAAAACACCTCATGTTCTGGATTAGAAGACTTACTATTGCTAAAATAACAGAATTCCCCAAACTGATTTACAGTTCAGTGTAATCCCCAATAAAATGCCATCTCCCTCTTTTGTAGCAAGTGGCAAACTGATCCTAAAATTCATATGAAAGTGTAGACACCTAGAGTAAATCAAGACAATCTTAAAACAACCAAAGTTGGGAATGTCTTATGGTCAACTAATTTTCAACAAGAGGGCCAAAGTCATTCAATTAGGAAATAAGTATAGTCTTTTCAACAAATGGCAATGAGACAAATAGATACCCACATGCAAAACAATGAAGTTGTACCCCCTACCCACACCATACAGAAATTAACTGAAAATGGATCATAGACCTAACTATAAGAGCTAGAACTATAAAACTCTCAGAAGAAAACAGAAGTATGAATCTTCATGATCCTGGATTATGCAAAATCTTCTTAAATATGACACTGAAAGAGCAAAAGACAAGTAGATAAATTTGACTTCATAAAAAAAAAAAGTCTGTGCTTCACAGGATACCATCAAGAAAGTTAAAGACAAGAATAGGAGAATATATTTACAAATCATATATCTGATAAAGGACTGGTATCTAGAACACATAAAGAACTTAACAACTTCAAATGTCCAGAATAGGCAAATCTAGAGAGACAGAGGTTAACAGTTGCCAGGGGAAGTGGTAATGGAAGTAATTTGCTAATAGGTATGAGGTTTTATGGTGATAAAAATGGTCTAAACTTTATTTAATGTAAATATGCTTTAAAAAAACAGTAAATTGTATAGTTTAAGTAGGCAAATTGCATAATGTGAATTATAACTCAAGAAAGCCATTTTTAAAAAAGCAAGTAATAATAAACACAAAACTCAGGATGGTGGTTTCCCCTTGGCAGGGGAAGTAAGGCAGAGCGATGGGGTGGATATGTTTTAAGGGCAGCCTCAACAGTGTTGATTTTATGTTCTATTTCTTAGGCTAGGTTGTGGGTTCATGTATACTTTTTAATTATTCTCTATAACTTCTATCATGTATCTTTTATATATATCAATATTATATTTGTTTCTCTGTTTAAAGAGCACAGGCCTGGGTGAGGCCTTTTCTACCATTTTGTTAGCTATGAAGGCTGAGACAAGTTAGACCTTTCTGAACTGTAGCTTCCTCCTCTAAAAAGAGGGATGCTATCATTGTACTTCATGTTTACAATAAAGAAATTCTCAGTGTTTCTTTTAAGAAGTCTGACTCTTTGCAATCCCACGGGCTGCAGCCTGCCAGGCTCCTCTGTCCAGGGGACTGCCCAGGCAGTAATACTAGAGTGGGTTGTCATTCCCTTCTCCGGGGGATCTTCCCGACCCAGGAATCGGACCCAGGTCTTCTCTACTGCAGGCAGATTCTTTACCGTCTAAGCCACCACTGAAGCCCTATTACCATAAAATCCAAAGTGAAAATTCACGTTACTGCCACCTCACTATAATAACCATTGTTGGTAGAAATCTCTTCAGACTTTCCTTGAACATACGAGTGCATTTTTTTTTAAAAGGGGATGATCTCTGACACTGATTTTCATGTAATAAATTATGAGCATCTTTCAAAGTTAACCACTTCACCATTCATAGACATTTAGGTTGCTTTCAATCTGGGAGGTTTGTCTGGGGGTCTTTTTGTCTTTTCTTTCATGCTTTTTTAATAATGTATTTTACCAAACACACATCTTAAATTTCTACACAGACAAACCTGATGTTCTTTTTCTTGCTTTGAAATCAAGGCAATACATATTTTCCTTCTAAGATGATAAATAACTATATATTACTTTCTTCTTACTTTTTGGCTTTGTTTTTTTCCACTTAAATTTTTAATCCACTTGGATTTTTTGTTCATGATGAGTAGGGATGTAACTTTCTCACTCCCCACCACCAGCTAAATACCCCAACAAACACATGAAATATATCAGTGGTTCACTGGAGCTGGCTCAGACTGGCTCCCGAGAGACAGTCACATTTTCTGCAATTCTGCAAAGCTGACTGTGAAAAATTATAAAAAACGAAATGACATAAACTAACAAGGAAACAGATTATAATTAAAATAAAGGTAATAAATACTCAGAAATAATCATTCCTAATTATTTCAGAATGACTTATGCTCTCATGGTTAACATCTACTTCATCTGTATGGGGAAAACTGTTTACAATGGTGTGCTACTCTGTTTGTTTTTCCAATTCAGCATTTACTGACTTCAGCTTGGTAGCCTGACACCAGCCATTAAAGGACCACAGGAACTGGCAAGCCCTACAAACTGGAGTTTTTTAATTTTTCAGAGACCCTGCTGCTAAGCATAAACCAGCACACCACAGAAACAAGCCATTCTTCCTAACTTTGAAAAGATCTCCAGAACACACTAGTCTGCAATTTATTCATCAATTTAAAGAACAGAATAAGGAGCTTAGTATTTGGGGGGGGGGGGTGCTAGCATCACAGACTGCTTTGGAATGTTTTGATGTATTAGGTGACACTTGAGATACAGTTTCTATTTTTCAACATTAGATGACAGTACTGCACTGAGAATGTTATTTTCCCTAAACAATTTAATAGCATTCTTACTCTAATGTAGATTATAAAAATAAAGGGCTATTTTGGTAAATAGTTGGTTATTGTACATTATTTTTAGATTAGGGCTCTTTACTCTTGAGAAAAAAAAATCTGAACATAAGAACACAAAAATCACTACTATGGGATAGTCTAAACATCATGGTTTTCTCATAAGAATTCATTTCATGAGGAAGTAGGGATCTACATAATGGCAAGAGCCAGCGATGCTACTCTTCTTTGACAGTCACCATCACGCACAAACTTAGCATTGGCAACTTTCAACAACAAACACATAAGTACAAATGAGACATGGCCCCAGCCTTTCAAGCTCTCATCACTTCTAGTGGATTAGTAGGTACAGAATGTGTCATAAGTGATTATAAGCATTTGCTTTGATTAATACTGAGAGGGAAAGAGAGAGAAACAGATTGACTTTCACTTGAAAGAAAATCAAAATTAAAAAAAAAAAGTCTGCCCACCTACCGAGACAACCTGATGTGTTTTGATAACATCTTCAGTATCTACACCAGTTAAAACACCACAGTGTCCCTATTTTAATGTCTTTCCTGCTGAGGTACTTTAAGAAGTCAGTGGTTTATTTGCAGATACTACTACCAAGTACCATCAAGTAAACCAGTATCAGTTGCATGTATCTTCCTTACCTGTCTCAGATCATTTACATTTAGACTCCAGCTACCTCATTCTAGGTGTTTATGCTATGAAACTATGCAATGTAAAAGTTGGGTGGATGCAATAAAACAACCCACTTTTGCACATAAACCAAAATACTTTCAAAGACTTGCTGTCCAGGTGGGATTTCTGGTTAACAAAATATCTCATACTGCAGCCCAGGGAGCAAACACAGCAGCCGCCCTTTTCATACACACAGTGACGATTTCAACCATTTCTAATTGTTAATATTTTGAACTTTAAAATCTATCTCTTAGGGATTTGTGCTATATATAGAAATAATCATTACCCTTCGGGAAACAATGGCTCATTTACTGAAAATGAGTTTAACAAAGGAATTATTTGGTACTGAAAAATACAGAGCAGTGAATTGGGTGACACAAATCACAACATCATCAGCTCATGTGACTGTATTAGGGTAATTTCCTTAAAAAAATAAAAAACTACAGTAACGTAAAATTTAGCTCCAGCAATCTAATATCCTCAATCATGTCCTCTGTCATAAAATTGTGAAACCAGATCTTAGGTTCTTAATTTGAGAATGTCCCTTAATTCTCAATTTGAGATAAATACCACAAAAAAGAAAAACTCTGCCGAATGGAATATTTCTATTCTGCCTGAAGCCTAGTTTTGACTGGTATGTTTCAGTTGCACATTTGATTCACACTGAATTTTGTTTTAAGTATTAAGAGAATAAATAGCATTCCAAAAAGTCACAAGCTTGAAAACTTCCAGTTCCTTCTCTAGTTGGAGATCTTACAAAACTTATTACATGGAACAGTGAGTTGATGCAGTGACCATAAATTTCTTAACACTGTAAGTCTAAATTTAATCAAAACCCAATCTCAGAAAGTTCTGTAAAAACAGCCTTGAAGTAGATAAAGCAAAAAGTCACAAAATGTTAATCTAGAAGAAAGGTTTATGGGAGTACCACTGTACAATTCTTTTAAGTTTTCTGAGGTTTAAAATTTTTCAAAAAATAAAAGGGGGAGAGGCATGATAGCCTCGAAGCAGATACAGAACATGATTACATACATGAAAAGAGTGAGCTATTTTCAAAAGCCCTGTAGCTCGTAACATTAAACTTTTACCAGAAACCTTAGTCACTAGCACACAAAAACTGCCCAACAGAGTATTCTAAATATTGTTGTTTTTTCTTTCAGAAGCATTGTTCCTGGTTTCATTTATAAGAATTTTGTTTTTTATTCTGTTTTTTTTTTTTTGCTTTTAGAAGAACACTTCCTCCACTTTCAATGGGCATTAACTTGGACGGGTATTACTGGTAAAACAGCAAAGGAGCAAAGGTTCTGGCTCAGCCTCCTACCAGTTGTATGACCTTGAACAAATCTCTTAGCTTCTCTGCGTCTCAATTTTCCCACGTAAAATGAGGCAGTTACACTAGATGCATTCTAAAGAATCCCCCAACTCTGTAATTCCTTTCAGGTAGAGCTCTAGGCTTGCGAGAAAGAAAAAACTAGCCCTCAAAGAGGAAAAAAATGGCCAAAATCTACCTTTGTAATGTTGGTGAAACAAATAGGATACCAAGCTGTAAGCACACAATGTAATAATCATGATCCCAAACTTTAAAACTTTAACACTATTATAAATGCACACATTTCAGATTTTAAAAATTGAAAAAAAATTATACCAAAATACTATTAGTGGCTATCTCTGAGTTACAGGTTAAATGTAGCTTTTCTGTGTTCTCCAAGTTTCTTACAACAAACATATTATTACTTTGATAACAGAGTGAAAGGAGGGAGTTATAAGCAAGGAAAAACCCCCCTCTTATGTGCTAAAGGAAATTTTACCTTTGGAAGGCATTCTAGAATTTGAAAGAATTTTCTGAGAACAGTTGGGTGTTAATCAGAAAAAAATTCTCTGGTATAGTCATTAACTTGATACCTGTCAAAATCATTCAAAAGCTGTTGGTTACCTGCCCTAGGTTAGTAAACTTAAGGAGGTACTGCATTTTTTCATGAGTACTGAAACTGGTAATAATAATGACAGCTAATGTATATCTAAGTGCCAAGCACAGTTTTAAGACTACATATACACTGATTCACTGAATCCTCACAACAACCCTATGCAATAGATATACCATTATTTACTATTTCCATTTTACACAGGACAACCAGAGGTTAAATAGTTTGCCCACAACTAATATTCCAGGCAGTCATCAGAGTACAGGCTTTTAACTATTTAACCATCCTGTCCTTTTGTACTTCTGCTCAGGTCATTCTTTAACTGCCTTTTGCTCTCAAAGTTCATCTAAACTACTTTTCTTTAACCTGCAAAGAAATAATATTTAAGTACTGGGATAAAAAGACTGGCCAACCTTTTAACTTGGTAGGTGAAAATTATGATTCATTTTTAAGTCATTACTTCAAAGGTACAGGAAGTATAATTTAATCTCAACACATATCACAAGGTAAACAACACGGTAACATCTGAGGGATTAAATATGTAGCATTAATTACTAAGTTAAAATTGGAATATCTTAATAAAAGAAGACACAAATGATTGACGTTAATTTGTCCTCATGAATCGTCTGTGAAAAGAGCCCCTAAAACCAAATGTTGGACCTTTCTAAAATTTCAATCATACTGAAATGCCATTTTAAACCATGTTGTAATTAACATGGTTTGGTTTTTAAAAGAATGCATCAATATTTATTTTGAACACTGGCCTTAGTACACACCCAGTTATCTTCACAATAACCTCAAATACTATTAACATGCAGAACCTGGGACAAGGAACACAAAGGAAGCTACCAATTAAATACAGCTGAAGGTTCTCACCTAATTCTTGGGCAATTTAAATCCAAACCAAGTATCCTTTTTTGGGCCTGTACCATTACCTGTCAATTTTTATGGTTTCTGGGTTACTTTTAATAAAAGCTCAAATTTCCTCACATCTGTGTTACTAAATGTCTAGCTCTGTCAAAGTAAATACAGAAATCAATAGTTTCCTATTTTAAAAAATTAAAAAGAGAAGGAAGTGGAGAAGTGAGAAAAAAACTTTGCACTGGGTTGCCTGTTAGCTTAGATGTGCAATGAGACAATCACCTGGTAATTGTACCCTTTGGGTACTTCTGTACTGGTAAGATAATAAAGTGAAATAAAGGTGACTTTCTTTCAATTTACTTATACAATTTGCAAATCTGTAGCTCTCTGCCATGGTAGATTAAGAAAATTAGCATGTAAGAAAAATCACCTGCTTATGTAAATTGGAGGATGGTTTTTATCTATGCAGACAGAAAAAAAAAATAGCTGCAATCTGGGTCAAATGACTAATTTTATCAATTTGTTCAAAGGTCTCCCTTCACCTTTTCTCTGTAGCTCAGGGCAAGAATTTTAGGTCAAGGAATGGATAAACAAAAAAGTATCTGTGTTGTCCATTCTCCTGTAAGAAGTTTGCTGCCTGACACTACTGAGCTCTATATTACTTAAACTGAAAACAAGACTGAGAACTTTATCTAGATAACAAAACCACAATACTGAGAGAGGAAAGAAAAGAAATCAATGGACGATATCTGATCTAACTGGCAAAGAAAGCAAACATGACAAGGATCAGGTACCAATTTTACCTTCTGCTACTTTAAGCAAACAGGGCTTCAGAAAAGGAAATTACTCCAAATAATTCAGGGCAGGCAGGACAACTTCTCTACAAAGAACACTACTCCACTCTGCTCTATAAACACACCGGGTCAAGTTCCTCTGAGTCTGACACAAGTTAGATGAATGTGTTCTTCCTCATTTAATGACTATTTTCCCAGCATTCATTGCTGGGATTCATCCGACCCACTTATAACTGACTCCATCTCCAGTCCAGGAGTGGACCTGACTGCTTCAAAGTGACCTTATCCACACTGACAGTGACGGGTTCAGAGCTGAGAATACAATTCAATAAACGCTAAAGACATTCTAGAACTGGGCTGGTCAATCAGGCAGTCAACAGTCACTGGGCTACTGAACACTTGAAATCTGGTCAGTCCAAACTGAGAAGTTAAGTGCTAACATACACACTGGGTCTAGTATATTTTATATGGAAAAAAAAAAGTAAACTATCTAATGATTTTTATAGTAGTAACATGTTGAAATGATAATATTTTGGATATATTGAGTTAAATAAAATAGATTACTAAAATTAATTTCATTTGTTTCTTTTGACATTTTTAACGTAGAAAATTTAACACTGTTAACGTGGTTTGCATCATATAGTTGGCCCCTGAACAATGTGAAGGTTAAGGGTGCTGATCCCTGCCCAGTGCAGTCAAAAATCTATGTATTAACTTCTGATTCCCCCTAGACTTAACTTCTAGTAGCCTATGGCTGATTATCAGTAAGGCTTCCTGATACTGAACAATCAATTAACACTGTGTATGTTATACATACAATATACTGAATTCTTACAACAAAGCAAATTAAAGAAAATGTTAAGAAAATCATAAAGAAGAGAAAATATATTTGTGGTGCCATTTACAAGATTAATCCATCTGTCAGCACCTTCATCAATATTGTCTTATATGATACAAAACACTGCAGGTATTATACGTATCACTAACACTAGACATCCAAAATGCAAAGATAATGTGAAGGTATAACTATTCACGCATTGATAACAAAGAAGCAGTAATATGGTAGCTTTGTGGCAGACTAGTTTAATCAATATGAGTACTGGAAACACACATTTTAAAGACACTTACCTGTGATGCTAGGCTGATACTGTTTCTCCATCTATGAGTGAAAGGAGGTGGGGCATACTGTACGGTAATTAATTCTTTGAAAGCAAAGTTAAAACAATAAGAAAACTAATACACTATTAATTCTAAACTAATATCATTAACCTTATGCCTGTATAAGGAAAGACTAGTATCTATACCTATCTTACGCCTTCCTGACATAACTTTTACTTAATTCTTTTGATATTTCTAGACTACAAGCTTCATCTGTGAAGTTTTTCGAATTGTCACAAATCTCAAGTTTCCGATATATTTATTTTTTAAAATCTGCATATTAAGTAGACCTACATAGTTCAAACCCATGTTGTTCAAGGGTCAACTGTGTATCGAGGCAACACAGGACTTTATAAATGAGGAAACCAAGACTCAGAAAAGTCAAATAAATTAATCAAGGTCATAGAGCTGCTGGTAGCAAGGCAGGGACCAGAACCTTGTCTGCTAACAAATTTAGTTAGTGCTTTACTACCTTGTCATTAAAAAGAAATAATCTTACCAAGGAAATGATACCTTGAATATGATAAACATCAAATTCTCTGGTTTAATAAACTAAACTAAACTACAAATAACAACTTGGGATTTGGGAGAATTTTATTAACAATAAAAGTGCTGCTAATACTGGAGACATTCTTTAGAATCAAACATACATATATGTCAAAGGTGGGGGAAAAAAATCATACACATTCTCTCCTGTGATCTACTTGCGAAATTTAATAGCCTTTTTCCATCCTCATTTTCTTTGACTTTATTTGCATCAAAGATTACTCCTATCTTCCTAACAATCTTCTCCCATGTGCAGGCTGTCAATCACTATGAACATATTTTCCTATCTGATTACCCTGAGTTCCATCTCCAATGGAACTCTTCTTCCACCTACAGCTGAGAACATTCCCTAAGGCCCAGACCTCAGCTATCTCTACTTCCACTTACATAGCCTTAAAAAAAAAAAAAAAAAATTCAATCTGAATGGTCACTCTGTTAACTTCCAGTGGTTGCCATTCCTAATGTTCCAACCTTTTTCATTATTTCCTGCCGCCAGGAGCGTTTTCAGACATCTTCCCCTCCAACTGCTCTCCCCTCAATGAAATTTTAATACCACAGATATGCTGCATATCTGTTTATGTACTGTATGTTATAAAGGGGCTTTAAATTTAAAAAAGAGTTTTCTTTTCCCCCTCTCCAATGTACCAACGGTATCTTATCTCTTCAGCAGGATACTCCAACCTCTTCAGGACTGAGCTCAAGCTTGCATCTCCACCCTCATCTCCTGTCACCTGCACTGCAATTGATATTCAGCAGTTCCAGCCCTGTAAGTCTCCCTTATAAGGGCCCATCCACCAATAATTCCCTTCCCCGTTAGTTGACTCTATATATTTTTTTTAACTTTTATTCTTAAAACTCTGTTGAGGTATTTATTTCTTCGAGGAAGCATTCATACCTTCCACAGAAATCCCTCCTCTGTATTCCCAGGGAGTATCTCTATTGCTGCACTTATGGCAGTGAATTGTAACTAACCATTTACAAATCTCTCTCCCCCACTAGATCATAATCGCCTTTAAATCTTTATCATCCAGCACAGTGCCTGGCAAACAGTCAACACACAGTCAATGAGTATTATAAGAACAAGTGAAAATAATCTTTCCTTACACTTTTATTTGACGGTTTCAAATTTGGTTTCAATTCTCCATCAAGACTCTTGAGAGCAAGAATGTATCAGTTCATACTGTTTCTTTAACTGTAAACTCCTTCAGGGCAATGACATGACTTAAACATCTTTATATCCCAAGCACAGCAGAAACTTGAAAGAAGTTTGTGAAATTATTTATACAACTAAATATCCTCATTAAAGCCTACAACAGTGCTGCTCTGTAGCAGGTTGACAAGACCAGTGACCTCCAGCCATGTCAAAACCTTCTGTATGATTCAATTAGCCAAACTTATTCAAAACACAGATGTGAAACTGGGTTTAGGTAAAGATCACCAATCATGATCAAAGGCAGACATCCCTGTACAGAGTCCCTCTACTCACACCACTACAATTAACTATTAAATCCGAACTCCCTACAGTTTCCTGAGAGTTCATCTTTTCATAATGCCAGAGTGCCAGATTTTTTTCTAAAAAAGTTCTGAGCTAGGTACCTCAGAATTACCAGCTAGGTCTATGATAGTTTGTCACATGCTTATTGACAGTATTACAACTGTTGCCTCAGGCACCCTGTGTGTTACCCCCAAGCAACAAAAGAATCAAACTGACAAGCTATTTTAGTTAGAAAATCATTATTGATCTGCATTAGATGACCCAATCAACAAATAATTCACCTGAGTATTTCGGAAGCACAGCGAATCACAAGTAAAACCCTAATGCAATGTAAAGAACTTCTACTCAATGACTTTTTCCTGCTTGGTTGGATGACAAATGGAAAAGTTTCTTTGGCCTTGACAATTTGCATCAGAGAAATCAAATCAGCATATTATATAAACAGTTGATGCTTGAAATGCTAGGACAGCAACAAATCTAATAAAAACCACCAAGAATAGACACTCAATTCTACATATAGAAGTCAGTGAAATCCTAATGCTCCAAGTTGTGAAGAAAATAAAATATTCTAGTATTCCATTAGAAGACAGCCTTATCTATAAGGAACAACACCACTACAGTTGCCTATGCTTTGAGGGTTAAATTCCAGAATTCAAATATTCAGTTAATGAATTTTGCAAATATTCTCCTAGGATAGCATATAAAAGAATTATATATACCACTATTTCTTTCTCAGGACATGCACCAGTGGTAACAACTGATAGCTAAAAGAAGTTGCAAGTAGTTCTGAGGGAGACTGTTGTTTTAGCTTGTTTGAAAAGGCAATTCCTTCTGAAAAGTATTTTTTTTTAGGAAAAAAATTTTTTTCTTCTAAGCTGACAGTCAATAGAACATAAAATTTCCCCCTAAGAATAAGACAAATTTCTTTTGTTGTGTTTAGGTTTTGTTTCATTTTCAGTTTTTGAATAAAATTTGCATAATCTTGTCCAGGAGCCCAACTACAACATGACTTCCAATGTTATAGGTTATGGACTTTCAGTGACCAAGAAACCAGTTCACTGTCATTAGACTGTGTTCCTTTTATTCTCTCTCTGCCTCCTCGACTTTATGACCATGAACCTGCAGTTTCTAAAAGTAAGTTCGTCTGTAGTTAAAACTAACAATATAGATTTCCACATTTCTAGTTTCACACGGATGCTTTGTTATGTCTAGAAGAGCAACCGTTTCCTTTTTATGGTGCAGGCTCTGGTTCTTCAAAGCTCTTTTCACAAAGCAGACACCCCCCCTACCCCCAAAGAATCCAGCTGTGGCTGTTAATCTTGGCCGATAGAGCAACTTCTCAATGCTACAGATTCCTAACCTGGAAAAGGCAGCTAATAACAAAATACACTTTAGTCTACTACTCTTTCTGATGCAACTAACGCCAGCATTTTCCCAAAATTATCCCCAAAAGCATTCCCCAATTTTCCAAATTTTAGTTTGCTACTTGGGGAGTAAGAGGACTAGAGAAAACATCAGAAAATACATGATGCCTCTAATTTTCACAAGATGAGGAAGATAGACAATCTCTGCCATGCATAAGGATTTATACTGAATAATTTTTCATTAAACCACACGTATTTCCACCCCCCTCACTGGGATCATCTTTAACAATTTACACCTGTTCATCCATACACAAGTAAAATGAATTTCCACTAAAAGTGAACTTTGACAACAAGGATGTCCTTCATTTGTTACATTCTGAGAAAAAAAAAATTAATTTCCTTCCAGGTATGGAAATCTATAATACTGCCTAAACGAGTACAGATGACCGGGCTAGAACATCTACCAAGTCCATGTAAACATATATATTATGTCTTTAGAAAATGCATTTGCTTTTAATTAATTGAGAGAACAGATACCCTAAATTCAACCCCCTGGCATATAGCAGAACTGAGGGGACACTCTGTGGTATTTAAAGTCATGCCTCTAAAAACAGGGGGCTTCTCGGGTGGCTCAAACGGTAAAGGACCTGCCTGCAGTGCAGGAGACCTGGGTTCGATCCCTGGGTCTGGAAGACTCCCCTGGAAAAAGGGAATGGCTACCCACTCCAGTATTCTTGCCTGGAGAATTCCATAGTCTGCATGTTGATTTTACCTGATGAATCTGACCATATGTGAAGCCACATCTATGCACATTTACACAAGTTTGATTTTCCTACCAATAATAACCACAATAAAAAACAGCTAACATTTATTGAGTGCTTACTGTGTGCTAGATAGTGTACTCAATGGTTTATAAGGATTACCTTCATTTAATCCTCAAACCAATGGAATGAAATGAATGCTATTATTATCCTTACTTTCTAGATGAGAAACAGAGAGAGGTTAAACAATATATCAAGATCACACAGCTAGTAAGTAACTAAGTGTCACTACAGAGTTTCAAACTTCATATAAAAGTAGCCTGCTCAAAGTATTAGAGTAATACAATTCAAAGTTCTCCAACTTAACTTGGAGAACAAAGGCAACAAACCGAATGTAATCCCAGACAAGTAAAAAATGCTGTTTTCATAAGGTAGAAGCCTTTCTCAGACTATCATCAAGGTGGCAATATGTACCATTAATTCAGTCTGATATTTTTGGCTGCCAAAGTCAAAACTGCTTGGGTTCTGCAGTTCTCAAATGTTTCTCACGAGTTCAATTTCCTCCAATTCTCAAAAGTATACACTTCATGAGCCCCTGAAGGCTTTATGTTGTAACACTCTTTGTCCCAAAGTTGTTACATCTTTAAGAACAACCTAACTTACTTTCCATCTGGCAAATGTTAACTACAGACAAAAAGGTATTGACATTATTCTCACAGAACAAGTGAGGTTTCTGTCTGTGAGTTGTTTCGTGCTTTGGTTTTGCATTGTGAAAATATCCACAAGGGCATTTGGAAGCCTTGTTATCTGATAAAGAAGGTCAAATTATATACAATGCTTTGATAACCCATGAACAATATTCTATCACTGGCAATGAATGTATCTCAGGCTACCCCATGATCATATTACTAGGTAAACTGGAATCCTTACTTTGAGATAAAGCACAGCAGACAGTTGTTAATGAAACCTTAATTGAACTGTCAAAGCACCACCTTTACCAGCAAGCTAATAGGTAATTCACTACTTTTACACAACTGTCCAATACTGATAAGTTATTCCAATAGTTAAATTCAGCAGAAAGATAAATCAAGCCTGGTAGACTAAATTGTTCAGTGAGAAATCAGAATGGTAAAATGCTGCATCACCTCTACAAATATCTCTCCTTGTCTACTTGGAGGAACAACAATAACCCTCAAAATTATATGCAACACTTAGCTATCAGTTTAGTACCACTGGGTACACGTCCAGAAAAAGAAACGAGAGCGCACACAGTTTCCTCTCATATGCCATGACAGAAGGAAAATACTTGCAGAAAGGATTAAACATATTTGAGTCTAAGTGAATCTTAAAATGCCCAAATAGTTATATGGTGCTTTGAATTAAATGATGTGTCATTAGGAGAATATTTTTATGTTCTATTTTAACCACTTTAGAAAATAGTTGTTTCAGAGTCATTAAGTGCCTTCTAAATTAAAAAGAAAAATCTTCACACAGTTAAAAAGTAAAAAAAGCTCACTAAAATCTTTAGCTTGGGTTTGAAAATACTAGTGCAATTCACTCTGGTCTGTCATTCAAATTCCTAGTTTTAACAATCTTACTTGGGTCATATAGCAATTAAATTTCAAATATAATAAGCAATTCAGACAGCAAGTTATAAATATGTAAATACAAAAATAGAAAAGTATTTGCATACTAAAACACACACCTGGAACTCTTTTCCTTTTTTTTCATACCGAATTGTATTTCACCTGTAACAGCTGATAAAAACATTCAATGCAGCTAAGCAGAAAAACTTGGTTAAAGAACAAAGAAGGACCTGACCAGGAGATCAAGTAACCAAGCAGCAAAGATGCCACAGCACCGTGCTGGGGAGAAAAAAAGGTACTTTAGCAGGCCCAGTCACTACCCTCATTGGGCTTACAAATGTGATCAGTCAGACAGGGCAAGCACAAAACCACTGGTGCACTGTGGAAGATGGTCCAAATGGAGGTGCTTCAAGTACATGGAATGAACTCCATGGGTGGTAGAAGGGGTCAATCAAGGAAAGACTCTAGAATGGACTCAAATCAAACATTTGGATTTTCATGTACTGGTAATTTTGAACACCCATTACCAAAATGTTTGCTGGTGGGATATGTTTCAGCACTCCAGTTCCTTATCTCCCTTCCCTTGAAAAAAATAAAAAATGAAAAAAGAAATTCCCTTAGCACCAACTTTAAGTTAACACTTCTACAAACCCCATCACCAGTTGATAGAAATGAAGAGCAAATAACACCTTTAGAACATAGTCAAGAATCCTGCAACCCATTTCCCTGTCAGCACATCTCCAGTTCTTAGCATTGTATGCAAAGCACTAAAATGAAAGAAAGCATCTGGTCTAAGAAAATCCAAACAAATTCTCAGTAAATCAATGACAAAATTACAACCATTTTCCTCCCCTCAGCTTTGAAATCCTCTAGGGTTAGACAAGGAACAGAAGTTCACCGTGTAGTCCCTGAGGATAGGATATGGAAGGGAAGACAGGAAAGCAAGAACAGGCAGGTCCCTGAGCAGAGACTGAAGAGGCACCATTACCGGCTACACTCTTTCCCACCAGGAATCCCACACACCTTGGAGAACAGAGCACTGCAGCAGCAACCTCCTTGGAGAGCTCGCTGGGAAAACACTGGACTTTACCAGGTTAAAAAAAGATGGGTTGGATCACTTAGTAGCCTAGTTTATAAAATCTGAAATGTAAATAAAGATGGCCAGACGTAATGCAAAAATGAAATTCATACCAATTACAGCCTGAAAAGCAATGATGAAAGGAGACGCTTACCAGGCTAGTTCCAAAGAGTTCATTTTCCCCAGGTGATGGGGGCTTTTCTAGACATTAACAAGAATCTTTTCATTTTTAAAATCAGGGTATAGTTGAAGGAATCTATTTTTGAAGCACTGAACACATCAATTCATCTATTCACACCAGGATACTTATTCCTTGGGAAGAAAAACTCAGTTTACTCTAGTTTTGATAGAAACAGGACCCTACAATGATAAAAACATTTTACTATAAACTACTAATCTTCCTAAAAAGAATAGACAAGATGTTGCATTTAAGAAGCCCTCAGACTTTAAAAAATATATACCAGCACTAGCAAAAATAGAGCAGTTTCATGCTTTGAAAGTACACTCCCTACTACAGCAACCAACCAAGGGTAAGAGCAACTTACAAGCCACTAAATGACACTAAAACATTACGCTGAATGTGGGCCACCGCATAGTTACAGTCTACTGACCTCAATTGTGGTACTCATGTGTGATGCTATATTTAATGCATTCTTATCAAAAGGCTAAAGCTACATACTTCCCAACTGTAGCTTTATGGTTTAAAATAAACCACTCACTCATGCAACGAATTAACTGGTTCTAGTATGAACCCTATTTTCCTTTGGGGATCTTGATCACAAATTAAGGAATGAAAAGAGCAAAATAGTTGTGGAAAGTACCCCGATGACCAGACCATGGTAAGGAATCCAGTTTGGGTCAGTTGTGACATCTGCTCCAATTGGGCAACTGATTCAAACTCAATCAAACATAAGGGATGGTCAAGGTCTGTGGAGGAATTAGCGTCCCATGTATTCACCTATTTACTGATTCTCCATTCAGTGGCTTCCTTGGGTTCTATGCAGTAAGTTTGGTAGACAACAAACTTCTGTGAGTTCCTCAACAAAGGGTGCTCCACCACAACTGGCCAGGACTTCAAAGCTTAAGCCTAGACAGCCAATGCCATCAGGCCCCTTTTACCAGGTAATGAAGGGTGACTTCCTATGGTTTGAGTTGAGCAGCTTGTTCCACTTGGGTCGACATGGAGAAAAACCATGAGAAACGGCCTTGCCCAGCAACCTTGAGAAGAAACCAGAAGTCGTGATTCTTCCTTGGATACTCACCAGACGACACCAAAGGCTCCATATCCAATAGGTCTATCCGGCTCAATATCCAGCTGCTGTTGTGGATGATGCGAGTGCTGATGATGGTGCGCCTTAACTGTGGCAGCTGCGGCAGCTTGTACCTGAGCTGGGGCTGCTGCAGCTGGTCCCGGAGCCTGACCCGGTGCCGGTGATGGGAAGTAAGGCTGCTGTTGCCCAGGGTTTAACATGGCTGCAGCTGCGGCCGCGGCGGCGGCTGCCGCAGCTGCCGAGGAGGTATGCTGCTGCACGGGGTGGACCGCAGCAGCCGACCCGGGATGAAGATGGTGCTGAGGGTGGTGGTGGTGGTGAAGGTGAGGAGGAGGGAGGTGTGGAAGGTGGTGGTGATGGTGGTGGTGGTGCCCTGCTGCTGCCGCAGATGTACCGCCATTGTAAGCCGCCATCATTTTTGCGTTGGCTCTTGCGCCACAAAGAGACATTCAAAAAAAAAAAAATGCCCTTTGATTGGAAAGCAAACTGGGTCAAGCTGTCATTTGGCCATTTAAAAATGAAGGAAAAAACCACTCACTCCACCTCCAAAAAACATGGAGCGGAACTGGCTTTATGTCTTCATCAGTCAATCCAGACAAGTTAGAGGATCTTGGTGTTTAAGTTGGGGGTGAGCGTGTGTGGAAGGGTGTGGGTTGCCCCCTCCCAAAAAAAAAAGAAAAAGAAAAGAAAAAGAAAAAAGGGACCCCTTCCCCCCAGGTTTCCTGCCACAAGTGGATACTAAAACTCCATCTTTAATTCGGGGGAGGTTCCAACTTTGAATGTGGGAATGAAGGCCAAACCTCCCGACCCCCTGAACTCCACACGCGAAAAGGATCAGGTAACACACCACCCTTGGAATCTTGTAAGAGGCTTGACTCATCTACCCCTTCCATTCCCACATCCTTTTCTAAACACCTACCACCTCCTCAAAAATGCAACTGAAAAAAATTCCACCACCCCAAAGTGAAAAGATGGGGGGAAATGTTCAGGGAAACCAGCTTCCCCCCCCTCGAACTCTCAGGCCTTCCTACATCTCCCCCTACTCCTCGTCAGGTTGACCTGATTGGAGGGGGGTAGGGGGGGTGGGGGACTAAACTTTCCCGAACAGAAAAGAGCCAGGGAAAGAGGCAGGAGGGACAGAGTGAGCAGAGGAGGCGACAGGGCAGGACAGAGAGGAGAAAGAGAACCGGGGCAAAGTGAAGGTAAGGAGGTGCGGGGAGGAATGAAAGAGGTGGGCAGCACTCGGACGCCGAGACAGAGGGAACCGCCCCGGGAGGAGGTTAGGGTCCCGGGGCCAAAGAATGGGAGCCCCAGGAGGCGGGCGGGGTGCAGTCGGAAGCGGACTGACTCCAGCCCCCGCCGCCGGCTGCTTCTGCTGAGGAGGGTTGGGGGGGAGAGCGGGTGGGTCCCCCCGCGCGACGGCCCCCGCAGGGCTCAAGGCTTCTCCGTCTCCCCCCCTCCCCCCCACCCGGCTTCCGTCCCCGCGGCCGCTTTCTCCTCAGCCGCTGTGGCCGCTTTCTCCTCAGCCGCCGCCTCCTCAGCCGCCGGTGCCGCCGCGGCCGGACTCACCTCCCCTAGCAAAGCCGGATAGAGCGGAGCCAGCGGCGGACACGCGCAACCAGCCGCCGAGGCCCCGCCCCCGCCTCACACTGACCGGCTGCCCTAGCCAATCCACGCCCACCTGTCCGCGTCCGCCTCCAATCCTGGGCCGGCAGCTTCAGACAGGCGCACTGTTCGGCCAGTGGCGACAAGGTGTGGGTCTCCTGGGGAAATCCCGCCCCCGACCCAGGATGGGCAGATAGAAAAACCAATCAAAAGGCAGAGTTGGGCCTGACCGACAAGGCCAAAAGCGAATTAAACACCAAAGATCTCCGTGACATTTTATTTCGCCTCTCTCCTCTTTTCTTTTTCTTCTTTTATTTTTTTGGCAGGAGCAGGAAGCTGCGTGCTAATCCCGCCTGCAAAAGCTGGAAGAGAGGGGTGGGACGAAAGAACCAATCGTGAGCCGGGGAGCAAGAACAGAGCAACCAATCATTGGCTTGAAGAGGAAGTGGGACGAGACTGGAACCAGATAGACATTTGATTTGACAAATGAAAAAGGAAATTGATTTCGGTCCCACCCTTCCGATCTCCTATAGGTCAGGATTGTGGAGAATCGCTGTCATATCAGCGACGACCTCATTAAGGGGCGGGCCAACTGAAAGGGGGTGTGGTCTCGGGGAAGGGGGCGGGACCTAGAGAAAGAAGGCGGAGTCCAAATCATCCATTGATAGGAACCATCTACTACTATCCCTTTTAGAAACTTCAGGTGTGGAGAAATAGGTGGCGCCAAGAGGGGATGTAGAGCTTCAGAAACTCAATCAAGGTTACTCAACAGGGCGATCACAAAAGAAACTCAGTAGACTGATGGTTCATAACCTACATACAGCTGGTCTTCCATGGCTAATCCTCTTAGTGGCAAAAAGACATTTCTTCCAGTTTTCACAACTAACACGCTCATGGAACAATAGGCCTATAGATATAACTAAAACAACAAAAATAATAAACCTAACCACAAAGACTGTAATTTTATCCCATACTTTCTAACAAATTCTAGTCACTGAAATTTTACTAAAATAAGCCTTTCACTTTCACATAACCTCACTTATCTGAATCTACTTTGCTTTAAAAATACGAAATAATAAGCTTACAGAACCTTACCCTTACTAAAACTGTGCACTCGGAACACTGGAAATCATCATTGATTTCTCTCTTGCCTGCCCACTCCTCCCGTTCTAATCAATCCTCAAGTCTTAAACACTTCTGAACACTTAAACACATGGGCTTCCCTGGTGGCTTAGACGGTGAAGACTGTGCCCGCAATGCGGGAGACTCAGTTTCGACCCCTGGCTCAGGAAGACCCCCTGGAGAAGGGAATGACAACCGACTCCAGTGTTCTTGCCTTGAGAATTCCATGGATAGAGGAGCCTGGAGGGCTAGAGTTCAAGGGGTCGCAGAGAGTCAGACACAGCTGAGCGACTATTCTGAGCGACTGTGCGCTGAGCTGAGCGAACAGTATCATTCTCTGAAACACACACATACATACACACACGCTTCTCCGCAGTTACCTAAATGCATGCCACTAGCATCTTTAATTACGATCTCCCTGTCTACAGGGCTTCCCTGGTGGCTCAGCTGGTACAGAATCTGCCTGAAATGTGGGAAATCGCAGGAACCTGGGTTCCATCCTTGGTTTGGGAAGATCCCCTGGAGAAGGGAATGGCTACCCACTCCAGTACTCTGGCCTGGGTTGCAAAGAGTCAGACACAACTGAGTAACTTTCACTCTCCCTACCTATAGGATAGCTCTCCTCTAATCCATCATCCATTGAGAGCATTGCAATCTTTTAAAAACACAAGTCTGACTACACCCCTACCCTTGAAAAAGTCAATAAGTCTAAATAGCCCAGCTGGATCTGGTTCCCACCTCCCTTCACAGCCTTATATACTCCAGACGTTCTGCATTTCGTTCAGTTCCTCAAATGGTTTGTTGCCTCCATGCATATCATCAGCTCCAAACACTCCCCACTCCCATTCTAACTTATACTTCAGGTCTTCACTTCTCTTTCTGAAAAGATTTCCCTAACCTTATGGTAGAATATGTGTTTCTGTTAAACATTTCCATGGCACTACATCACTCATAGCACTGAGAACTGTTTATTTATTTTGAGAACTCTTTTAATTTTCATTGTTTACTGAGTTTGACCAGGACAGCAAGCTTCTCTGTTCCACTCAGTGTTCCTTGAGCCTGGTTCCTTGAGCAGTGTCTAAAAGGTGAAGGCAGTAAAGATTTGCATGCATTTCTGAGAGCAGAAGTCGGTGCCAATCCAAGCTCTGCTATTCACTAGCTGTATGATTTAGGCAATTTAACTAACTTTAAAGTTCCTGACATGTTCATGTTCATTCTCTCTCAATCAAAATCTTGGGGTGGGGGGGCAGGGATCTGTTTAATAAGCCCTCCAGGTGATTCTTACATGCCCTAAAATTTGAGAAACACTGGCCTAGAGCAAAGGGGCTTTTTTTTGAGTCTTCCTACTCCTTGGAAGGAAAGTTATGACCAACCTAGATAGCATATTAAAAAGCAGAGATATCACTTTGCCAACAAAGGTCTGTCTGTTCAATGCTATGGTTTTTCCAGTGGTCATGTATGGATGTGAGAGTTGGACTGTGAAGACAGCTGAGTGCCGAAAAATTGATGCTTTTGAACTGTGGTGTTGGAGAAGACTCTTGAGAGTCCCTTGGACTGCAAGGAGATCCAACCAGTCCATCCTGAAGGAGATAAGTCCTGGGTGTTCATTGGAAGGACTGATGCTGAAGCTGAAACTCCAATACTTTGGCCACCTCATGTGAAGAGTTGACTCATTGGAAAAGACCCTGATGCTGGGAGGGACTGGGGGCAGGAGGAAAGGCAACGACAGCGGATGAGATGGCTGGATGGCATCACTGACTCGATGGGCATGAGTTTGAGTAAACTCCGGGAGTTTGTGATGGACAGGGAGGCCTGGCGTGCTGCAATTCATGGGGTCACAAAGAGTTGGACACGACTGAGCGACTGAACTGAACTGAACTAAACTTTGTTTACTTTTCACTCTATAGTATAGCACCTGGCACCTAGAAAGGGCTCAGTGCATGTGAAATAAAGAAATACATCCAAACCACCAGAAAGGTATTGCATATGAAGAGCTATTTATTCCTGCCACAAATATTTACTGAACACCAACTATATCTAGGTATTGTACTAGATTCAACAATACAGAAATAAAAAGTGAAGTGTTAATCACTCAGTCGTGTCTGACTCTTTGTGACCCCATGGACTGTAGCCCCCTCGTCTTCTCTGTCCATGGAATTCTCCAGGCAAGAATACTGAAATGGGTAGCCATTCCATTTTCAGGGGATCTTCCCGACTCAGGGATTTAACCTGGGTCTCCTGCACCACAGTCAGATTCTTCACTGTCTGAACAACCAGGGAACCCCAGGGAGATGCAAATTAATAGTCTCTTTCAGGAAGGAGCTCTCAGTGTTTAGTGTAAGAGTTTCTAAAATGGTGTGTGCAGACTCCAAGTGATGCACAAAATGCACCACTTTCTGGGCTCCAGAAAGAAATTAGTACAACTTCTATTTCTGCTCTTTTTTTATTTCATCTTTTTAAAGCATCCATTTGGTCAGTGTTTTATAATGTACATAATATACAGAGTAGTGTTCATGTATATTATGTATAAATAAAAGTATGTAAATTGGGGATTTGTGCTCCAAAAACTTATCAAAAGTATTGGGAAATCACTAGTCTAGTGACCATTAGGTCATTTAGGTCAGCTCTGTCCAGTAGAAATATAATAAGAGTAACATAAAAAATTTTTAATGTTCTAGCAGTCACATTAAAAAGACAGTGCTCTGTGATGACTTAAATGGGAAAGAAATTTTTAAAAAGGGGGATGTATAATATGTGTGTTTAGCTTATTCACTTTGCTATACAGTAGAAACCAGCACAACATTGTAAAGAAACTATACTCCAATTACAATTAATTTTTAAAAAGCTAAAAAAAAACTAATTCTATTTGTAATTTAATATTATCTAACAAAAAAAATTTGTCATGTTAAATATGTAATCAATGTAAAAAAAGATTGTGTATATATAAATATAGATATCGATATAGATACTAAGTCTTTGAAATCTGGTACATGTTTTGCATTATTAGCACATCTCAACTGAATTAAAAATTCAATTTCTCCTGTCATACTGGTCACATTTCAAGTGCTCTATA